GCCCCTCTAGAAATCTCAGCCCTCATTCTAGAGAGACTGCAGACTGTATAGAGAAAGCTTACCAGGTTAAACACCAGGAAGATGGTCTCCTTAACAGTCAGGGGAAACTGAACATTCTCTAATAGGAAGGTAACAAATTCAGAGGAGAAGAAGGAAAGCAAAGGCTGAAAAGCCTCATCCCCTACTTCCCCTCTAATAAACTGGCTGCATAACCATAACCATGAACCATACATTCCAGGAACAGACCTCAGCACCTTTATAAAACCTCTGGAAGCTATTACACCCAAGCACAGCCCGATGGATATTCTGGTCAGTGCCCTTCTACTGCAAAACCTACGTATTACGGACAATACCGGAGCTATTCCTGGATAAAAAAATAAACCTAGGGACCATAGGGGGATTAAGATCTCAAAAAACCCTAGGGACCAGAGACACATGCAGGCCTTCACCCCAAGAGACAATATTAATTCAAACAACATAACCAATAACTGCTCCATACCAACACAAAGTAATTGAAACAAAAATATGATTACAACAGGGTTTTTTCCACTCTCTCGAGCCACGAGTTGGGCGCCAAAATATTTGTCCTAGTTTAGGGCAAATTTGGGGAAAACCCTCTGAAAGGAACCCCCAGGAAATAAACTCCCACGGCCCCTCCCCACCCACCTGGTTCAGGGAAAAATTTCCTCTGAGAGAGAAGTGGAAAAGAACCTGTTTATTCAACGAGCAAAGCACTCCCCAGCACCAAAACAATTAACAACACCAGATGACAACAAAACTCTTTCACCACTCTGAAGAGATGAACAGATCCAGAAAGTCTTTCCTGGGAGTGGTCGCCCGGGTCTGGACGCTGGGGATTGCTCTCCAGCACTGGGGATGGCTGCTGCAGATCACAAAATGCAGGCTCCTGGTGTTCCTTGGTGTTTCCCGGATCCCAGTCCAGAGCAGGTTGGATGGTATTCAGAAAGAGGAAAGGAAAAATCAACAGTCCAGGGAAAGAATTGGACTGCTTAGCTAACCTAACAAGGAAGCAAGCAAAGCAAGCAAGCCAAGCAAGCAAGCAAGCAAAGCAAAGCCAGCCAGCCAGCCCTAGCCTTTTCTAGACAGCAGACCATGGGGGGAGGTGAACCAGATGATAACAAGGCAAAACAAACCTTCACTTTCAGAGTCAGTTCTGAAAGCACAGAACATAATATCAAACGTAAACAGAACACACGTTTGGAGATACAAACACCATAACGTCACCCTAGGACACCCACAAAGCTTCGGCCATCATCCATGAATCAATGCAAAGGTAGAGCTTTGACCACTTCTCTCTTTCAGCAATGTCCAGGACCAGTTGAATCGCTTTCAGTTCAGCAAGTTGGCTTGATCCACCTTTGCCTTCAGTAGTTTCTGCGACCTGTTGTGTTGGGCTCCATACAGCTGCTTTCCACTTTTGTTTCATCCCTACAATGCAACAAGAACCATCAGTAAAAAGAACGTAACATGTTTCTTCTGCTGGCAAATGGTTCTACAGTGGAGCTTCTTCATCATGTGTCACTTGTTCTTGTTCCTCTTCATCTCTGAGACCAAAGTTTTCACCTTTGGGCCAATTTACAGTTATCTCCAAAATCCCAGGTCGATTCAGTTTTCCAGTACGGGTGTGCTGTGTGATGAGAGCAATCTACTTGCTCCATGTGGCATTGGTGGTGTGGTGGGTAAAGGGAACCTTTGCTTTGAATATCCACTTCAGCACTGGTAGTCAGGGTGCCAGGACGAGTTGTGCTTTAGTGCCTATTACCTCTGATATGGCTTGGGCTCCTTTATAAGCTGCTAAGATTTCTTTTTCTGTTGGAGTGTAGTTGGCTTCAGACTGTCTGTAGATTCGACTCCAGAATCCTAGCGGTCAGCCTGGAGTTTCACCAGGCACTTTCTGCCAAAGGTTCCAGCACAGACCATGGCTCTCAGCTGCAGAGTAGTGCACGTTCTTCACATTTGGTCTTGTTCTGAGTGGGCCAAGGGCACCTGCATGAGCGATCTCCTGCTTGATCTGGGTAAAGGCTTGCTGCTGTTCAGGGCCCCACTGGAAAGTGTTCTTCTTGTGGGTGATCAAGTAGAGAGGGCTCACAATCTGGCTGTACTCAGGAATATGCATGTTCCAAAAGCCTATGGCACATAGGAAAGCTTGTGTTTCCTTCTTGTTGGTTAGTGGAGACAGTGCTGTGATCTTATTAATGACATCAGTGGGAATCTGATGCCGTCTATCTTGCCACTTCAATCCCATGAATTGGATCTCTCGAGCAGGTCCCTTAACTTTGCTCTTGATGGCGAAATCGGCTTTCAGGAGGATCTGGATGATTTTCTCTCCTTTCTCAAACATTTCTGCTGCCATGTTCCCTCACACAATGATGTCATCGATGTACTGCAGATGTTCTGGAGCCTCACCCTTTTCTAGTGCAGTCTGGATCAGTCCATGGTAGATGGTAGGACTGTGCTTTCACCCTTGGGGTAGTCGATTCTAGGTGTACTGCACGGCCCTCCAAGTGAAGCGAAACTGAGGCCTGCATTCTGCTGTCAAAGGAATGAAGAAAAATTCATTGGCAATATCAATAGTGGCATGCCACTTCGCTGCCTTGGACTCCAGCTCATACTGGAGCTCCAACAAGTCTAGCACAGCAGTGCTCAATGGTGGAGTCACTTCATGTCGCCCTGATTCTTGAGTTTTTCTAAAGCCTTCTGAGTTTACATTCTATTGGGAAACTTTCCCACACAGTTTCTGTAAATAACGTGTTGTTTTGCATTCCTTCATGGGGGTGGAGAGACTTGATGTACTAGTGGTTTGTCCAATGTCTTTGGAGAGGTGGCCCATTCACTCTCCAATCCACTTTCACCTTTGGAAAAGTTGGAGTCAGAAAATAAACTTTCTCTTTTACCTTGCAAAGTGGCAGGTGGCTCGCATTGTGCTTTCTCGTGTCCTATAGCGACAACTTCATTTGAGACATGATAGTCCACAGTCAATTTCCATTCTCCTTCAGATTTACGCACAGTCCAAATGGGACTGTTGAAGGGTGTGTGGGTTTTGCTGACCACCCCTTGGCTTTCCAACTCACAAATCATCTTGTGATTTGGAATCACAGCATCTTGAGTTGTTCTATACTGTTGGCGATGCACCGTCAAAGAGGCAATTGGTACTTGTTGCTCCTTCCCTTTCAGAAAGCCTACTGCAGCTGGGTTTTCTGATAGTCTAGGCAAGGTGTTCAATTGCTAAATGCCCTCTATCTCTATAGCAGCTATCCCAAACGCCCACCTGAGTCCCTTTGGGTCTTTGAAATACCCACTTCAGAGGAAGTCTATGCCAAAAATACATGGGGCTTCTGGTCCAGTCACAATAGGGTGTTTGTTCCACTAATTTCTAGTCAGGCTTACATCAACTACCACTAAGGTGAAATCCTGTGATCCCCCTGTCATGCCAGCAATAGAAACAGATTCTGCCCCTACAAGTCTCGATGGGATTAGTGTGCATTGTGCACCAGTGTTGACCAAGCATATTTTTGTGGTTCTGATGTGCCAGGCCAACAAATCCACACAGTCCAAAAAACACGGTTTTCCCTAGCCTCTACCTGGCTAGAGGCAGGGACCTTCTAAGCCTGGTTATCCTTCCTTCCTTCCCTGGGTATACGTCTTAGAGGTTCCTTCAGTGGGAACAGAAATGTCATCATCACCATACCTGGAAGTTTGGCTAATGGGCAACTGGCGCTGCTTCCTTTTTGGTGGAACTTCCTCTCTGAGTCATGCTCTCCTTTAATTTATGCACCTGTTGTGCCAGAGCAGAGTGGGTCTTCCATCCTATCTCCTTATGTTTTTCCTACAACCACACAGGAAGAACCACAGCTCACCTCATGGGGTGTACATTCTCTCCCTATCTGGGGAATGCCTGCGTTTGGCTCCAGAACCTCTGATCTGTACTGCCGAGATTGGAGAAGGTCCTCCTTAATGTCTTCTTTGACTTTCTAGTGATTCTCCTCTATGTTATCTTCTAATTTTTGCAGACATGTTTCCACAGCTGCCATTCTTGCATGTGTTGGGCCATGCATGGTATCTGCATATGCTCAGAGCTTCTTTGCCATATCAAGCATGGTCTTTTTTCTTTCATCCCACTTCATCATTCCTAAAACAGAAGCGTATTCTTGTGGCCCAAATCGTACAAGTTTTCACCACATTATGGGTGTACATGTTACCAAGTCTGGATTCTTAGGCATTGTTGGGTCTTCTGAGAAAACAATCTCTGCCACCACCATTTCTCTCAAGCATTGGATCCCTTGTTCTATGGTCTTCCACTGGGTTTGCTGCATGTAGAGAACCTCTGCACACAGATATCTTTGTCCCACACTTCCCAAGATCTGTGCACAGAGACTGTGAGGGTCAGCGCCCCTTACCATTCCCTGCTCGATGACCAGATCACATGACAGGGATTCCAAATGCCTCACTTCAGTACCGTCCAGAATTGTAGCTTCGCCTGCAGCGTCCCAAAGACGAACTAACCAACTTATTATAGATTCACCAGGTCATCGAGTCTAATCCTTTCTTAGGCCACGAAGGTCCTTCAGGGAAATGGACTCAATAGTGACTTCTGATTTTGAGTCAGTTGCTGGAGCTGGCTTTGAGGGTTCTTCCCCCGGATCATCATCGTCCACTGGCCGATTGGTTTTGGTTTTGTGCTTCTTTCCCATGGTAATGACTTCCAGTTGCTTAGGCTCACTGGTTTAGCTGCTAGCTTAGGTTTACTGTCTGATTTAGCTGTAACTTGAATGACTGGGGTATCTGCTGCAACAGGGATACATGTCCCAGGGTGTTGTATTGCTCTGGGGAATGGTATTTCCCTCCCCAGAGACCCCTGTAGATATGACCATATTATTTTAGCCCTTCCTTCCTTTCTTGACCCAATTGGCTGGGAGTCAAGTATCCTTTTCTGTACAGAACCTAGATAAGGCTCTGTCCCTTGCTTGTTCACTCTCTTTCCCTCTTCCTCCCCTGGAATAAACATCTTGGACCACATCGGGGGTTGGAGCCTCTTTTGGAATCTTTTGCCTTGCTCCTGAAATACTTCCCCAAGGCCTCCCAGATCTGGGCTAGTCTGGTAACTTTGGGGGGCTTCAGGGGATAGATATTTCAGTTGGCTCCGAACGTGGTTTTTAATGAAATATTAAAAGCCCACGCAAAAGATGGAGCCCTTATTTGAGGGTCTCAAAAGCTCTTTGGGAAGTTCAACTACCTTGTTGCTTATTAGCTGCTTTTTGGGTGGCTTTGAATGACGGGAGAGGGTCGGGAACTTGCCTCAGCACCTCAGACGAGTCGGCCCGGACCACGAAATCCTGACACTGCTACACACGACAGCCACGGTCCAAAAGAAGCGGTAAGACCCCTCGTGTGCGGTTTATCCCGGGAAAAACCCCTAGCTGCAGGGGAGGTGTTACCATCGCGACCGTGGAAACTGCAACTGCAGTAAGGTAGGACCCAGCAGTCACAGTTTGTAACAACGAGCGTGCTTGTGTGAGTTTTTCTGCAGATTGGCGCTCTGTGGCAGCGGAGCCACCCCGACTGACTAAGCCCGCGTTTCGGGGGTGAAGACAGCGAAGGACAGGTACCTAAAGCCAGGAAGGTGGCGGGATAACCCCCTGTGCTCCTGGGGAGCCGAGAAAAAGTGGCGGCAGCCACCCTTCCGCGGCTTCTCCTTCCCCCCCCCCCCCGCCCCCCACTCCCTGTGCTGTCTGTGCAAGCGGGGATTTCATGCTGCATTGTGTCTGGAGGTAGATTTTTGACAGATAGCGTTTAAAAATGGGTGCAGAGTTATCTGTCCAGCAAAAGAGTAGATTAAAACACCTTAACAATATTTTAATTAATGTTACATTCCCAAATAAGCTCCTAGTTCGCTTTCTCTGCTGGCTGACAGTTGAATTACCAAATTATACCCTTCCAGATATGAATTCAGTTTCATTTTGGGATAAAATTGGACAGTTACTAACCTTAAAAGTGGAAAATGGAGATCATAAAGCTTCTCTATTTATTCCAATAATTTTAAAAACTCGAAAACAGCTTTTAGAAGCAGAAAAAAGCACACAGCCACAGACAAGTGTCCAAATAATCCTTTTCCCGATTCCCCTGTACTTCCACAGTATCCTGGTCCTGAAATCGGACCATCCTCCCTGTACCCTTCTATCACACCTGTTTCTTCTCAAGAATACAGTCTTGACTGCTCCAAAAATGAAATGCTCTCCTCCCAGAGCCCTGGCGTTTTGGCAGGGTCCCTGAGAACTGCAGAACACATGCTGCAGAGCAATGGAGGATGCCATGTGCTTCTTTCTCCTTCCCATAATCCCTCCTTCCCCCCAATCCCCTCCCCGACTCCATATCCCTAATCCCTTCGTGCCTTCTGCAGTCCCGCCCCATCCTTCCTGCCTGTGCCTCCCTCCGAGTTGCCACAGGAACAGGGGAGCAGCCTCCCTCAGGTCCCCAGTGAAATGAACAGGGTCTATGCCTTTATTAATGTTCAGCTCTTTATTAAAAAGTCAGCTCGGCAGGGGGCTCGACACAGAGCTCACCCCCGCTGTTGTAGCTTTTCCGGTAGCCAGCGTGCAGTGTCTGTTCCTGGAGTCCCCGTGGCACATTGGTAACTGGAGGTGAAGAGGTGTGCAGTCTGTTGCTGAAGTCCCAGCAGACCGTCCTCTCTCCTTTCCTCCTGGCACTCTGGTATCCGAAGGGTGAGGGGATGTGCAGAGCCTGCTGCCGAAGTCCAGCAGCAGCTATCCCTCTCCTTCCCTCCTGGTAACACCAGGAAGTGTGTGTCTGCTTTGCTCCTGCTTCCCACAGCCCAGTCCAGTCCAGTCCTCTGCAGGTTATGGTGACAGGTCAGACACAGACTAGGGATGGGGCTCCCTTTTCCCTAACCAGCACACCCATCCAGCCCCCTCCACTGTGCCCATCTTTTCCATTTAGGGGTGTTTTTCATCCCCAAAACCCTCTTCCATGATTCCACTGGATTATTTTGCATCCTGGTCCTAGTGTGGGTGGGAGTGTAGGTGATTCCCAGGAGCAATTAGCTAATTAACATTTCAATGTCAGTACTTAGCCCAAGCCAAGTGTCCCAGCAAGGCTGTTTAGTTCATAACACCCAGGAACGGGGTACAGAGCTGCATCTTGCATGACCTCAAGGGGTGGGGGAGGGTATGCCTCCTGCCTCTTTGGGCACTGGAAGAGCAGCAGAATTTTTAGCAACTCAGAAAAATGCTTATGAAGCCATACCCTCTGTAGCACCTGTTATATATTTTGGTAGGAGAAACGGTACTAGGGCTTACCAACCGTTACCCTTAGAGATAAAACAGACATCCACAAAACACAGAGAGAATTTGGGAGATCGAGCGAGGTTTTCAAAGGGATGATAAGGGCAACCTTTAATTCAAATGAGATGGTACCCAGGGATATCAAAGATTTGTTTAGATGCCTGTTAACTCCTTCAGAATATGATCTGCGGGAAGGCAGATGGAAAATGGCTTTAACAGTAGTATTACAGGAGAGTCAACAAACTCCTGGCGAAGCACAGGACAATGATGGTAATTCTATTTCAAAAGACCACCTGTGCGGTGAAGGTGACTGGCAGTGTCCAGAAAAACAAACTTGAGTGTTATCTAAGTTTTAGATAAGGTCTGTAATGTTGCAGAAAAAATATTTTATCAGCTACCAACAATTGAAGCTAAGGGCAGTTATCTTAGCATAAACAGTTTCCTTCAGAGAATTTCTTACAGTTTGTGGACTGCCTAAGAACACAAGTGGAAAGACAAGTACAAGATCCAGTGGTGCAGGCAGAATTGATTAAAGAAATGGCTCAGAGGAATGCTAATGAGACCTGTCGTAGAATTATCCTCAGCCTTCCCCGTGACCCAACACTTAGTCTTTCACATATGATAGAAGCCTGTACCAGAAAAGCAGAACTATTCAGTACTCCTGACAGAAATACAGGATCAGCACACCCACAGCCTGCAGCAACTGCGGCACCAGATCCAAGGAGGAAACCAATGTCACCAGACCCGCTGCAGCACATCATCTGCCTCTGTTGCAAGAAACCAGGACATTTCGCCAGAACCTGCCCCCTAAACCAGAAACAGAAAAAGTTCAACAAACAAAAAACCTGAATTTACAGTGCATACCTGCTTTTACTACAACTAGGTGCAAAGATATAAATACAGTGGGACCCACATGGGCAAATATCTCTCTCTCAACAAATAAGGGGGAGGACGGGACCCATGGTGGTAGGAGGCAGAAAAATAAAAATGTCAAATGTTCAACTAACAAGGTTTGGCAGCTGCTAGGCCAATTTTGGCTTGTGACTACCAAAGGTTTTCATTTCAGATCTACTGACTGAGAAGTCATTACAGTGGACCTGTCAAACATCTCACAGGACCTGATGGTTTACCACATGGGACTGGACAGTGAGTATTTTGTTATTGGGGACACAGCACACACACCTTCAGAGATTGAGGTAGCTCTCATGTCCACTGAGGGAAAGATAACAGGCCTTATGTTGTTGGCATGCTGCATGCACGCACCATTTTACCTAGAAATGGAAAAATTCTGGCCCAGGCCATTTCTGTTCCAGCAAAAATCACAGCAGAAGGAAAATCACCGGAAATCTACTGGGAAGAGGTGGTGGGAGAGGATAAACCCTTGATGGCATGCAACCTAGCACATGGGTCAGAGAGCCTCCATGTGGAGGGGGTGTTAGACATGGGTGCAGACATCACGGTAATACCTAAGACCATGTGGCCATCACATTGGGAATTGCAGCCTGTGGCTGGCAAACTTCAGGGCATAGGAGCAACCGCATTGGCAAAGATTTCAAAAAACATTGGGGAAATTGAGGGACCTGATGGGAAATTGGCAGGTGTTTGTCCATTTGTTGCAGACTATAAGGCCCCCCTGTGGGAGAGAGACACCATGTCCCAGTGGGGATTCCAATTTGTCATTCCTAAGACACCCCAGGATTTTTGGAAGTAGCCACTGTGGAGTGCCCTACTCACAAGTTAAAGTGGTTGGCTAACATCCCAAGGTGGATAGCACAGTGACCTTTGAGTAGTGAGAAACTCAAGGCACTTGAGGAGCTTGTGGAGGAACAATTGGCTCAAGGACACATAAAAGAGACAGATAGCCCTTGGAATTTCCCAGTCTTTGTAATAAAGAAACCAGGGAAGGACAAGTGGATGTTGCCCCATGACCTCTGAGAAATAAACAAAATTATAGAGGACATGGGACCACTCCAACCAGGGATACCTAGTCCAACAATGCTCCCTCGAGATTGGCAATTAGCTGTATTAGATATAAAGGACTGTTTCTTCCAAATTCCATTGCACCCTGAAGATGCCCCAAGGTTCGCATTCTCAGTTCCCACCATCAATCAAGAAGCCCCAGTAAAACGCTATCACTGGAAGTTCTTGCCTCAAAGTCTTAAATCGAGTCCTTTCATATGCCAACAAACCATAACCTCATTACTATCTCCAGTACACGCGGAGAGAAAGGACGCCATCATCCTTCACTACATGGATGATGTGCTTGTGTGTGCCCCCAATGACTCTATACTCCACCAGACACCTGGCCTAGTGGCTAAGCTTTTAACCTCTGCTGGATTTCAATTGCAGGAAGACAAAGTTCAAAGGATGCCACCTTGGAAATACCTCAGTTTGAAAATCACTGCAAAGACCATTGTTCCACAGAAATAGGAAATTGATTGCAATCCCAAAATGCTAGCAGACCTCTGCTCTTTGTGTGGGTCTTTGAATTGGGTAAGGCCCTGGCTAGGCCTCACAAATGTGGATCTAGACCCTTTCTTCAATTTATTGCAGCGGGAGAGGGAGCTGGCCTCTCCCAGGGAACTGACTCAAGAGGCAAAGACAGCAATCGAAAAGGTGCAGAAGGCCTTGTCAGAGAGGCAGGCACATCAGTGTGAGTCAAACATGCCTTTTCATTTCATTGTTCTAGGAAAGCTGCCACATTTGCATGGTTTGATTTTCCAATGGATCGAGGGGCAGAAGGATTCAGTATTGATCATAAAGTGGATTTTTCTCTCCCACCAAAGATCCAAGACCATCACTGAGCCACAAGAGTTAATAGCTCAGATGATTCGGAAGGCCAGGATGAGATTGTGTGAATTGTCTGGTTGTGACTTTGCATGCATTCACCTTCTAGTCAGACTTTCTGAAGAGGGAAGGAACACTCTTGAGAGGGTGACCAAAGAGATGTTTGAACATTTGCTCCAGAGCAGTGCCAGTCTCCAATTATCTCTGGAGAGCTACAGGGGACAAATATCAGTCCATGCCCCGTCTCACAAATTGTTCAATGAGGAACTCCACCTCATTCCTCGAGACAAGAGGAGTCGGAGACCACTCAAGGCTCTCACAGTGTTCACGGATGCATCAGGGGCTTCCCACAAGTCAGTGATGACTTGGAGAAATCCACAGACTCAGCATTGGGAAGCTGATGTTGAGTTTGTGGAGGGATCCCCCCAGGTGGCTGAACTGGCTGCAGTGGTAAGAGCTTTTGAGAGGTTCTTGGAACCAATTAATTTGGTAACAGACTGCCTACATGGCGGGAGTAGTGTCCAGAGTGGAACAGGCCGTGCTCAAAGAAATAGAGAAGGAACATCTCTTCAGATTGCTCTCAAAGCTGATTTATTTAATTTCTCACTGAGCGCATCCTTTCTTTGTGATGCATGTGAGGTCACACGCTGATCTGCCAGGTGAGATTGCAGAGGGGAATCGCCAAGCAGACTCCCTTGCTGCACCAGTTGAAAAAGCATGTCTCCCTGACTTCTTCCAACAGGCAAAGCTGAGTCACCAACATTACCATCAAAATGTGCCAGGTCTGATCCAACAGTTCCCAGTTAACACGGAGTCAGGCTCGAGCCATTGTGGCCACCTGTCCCAACTGCCAGCTCCAGGTCATGCCATCGGGGTTAATCCCCAGGGCCTTGACAGCTGTGAGGTGTGGCAGAGAGACATCACACACATTCCTAGTCTTGGTCGCCTCAAATATGTTCATGTAAGCATTGACACATATTCAGGCTCAGTGTATGCCTCTGCCCATGCAGGAGAAAAGTCTGAGCATGCCAAGAAGCATCTAGTGCAAGCTTTTTCAGTGTTGGGGATCCCAAAAACAATCAAAACTGATAACATCCCCGTGTATGCGTCCAAGGAGTTCCTGGAATTTGTCCAGCAGTGGGGAGTGGAACATAAGACTGGCATCCCTCACTCCCCCACAGGTCAAGCTGTGGTCAAGCGTGCACACCAGACGCTCAAGCAGGTCTTGGCTAGACAGAGCAGTTCAACTGTGTGGATGTCTCCACAGCAGAAGCTCTGTAAAACCATGTTTTCCATCAATTTTCTGAACTGTTCGTTTGAAAACATGAGTCCACCAGTGCTACGTCATTTTAACAGGGGCAATCAGTTCAAATTGTCTCAGCGTCCACCGGTCTTGATTAGGGATCCAGAAACTTGGGAAACCAAAGGGCCCTACGAGCTCGTGACCTAGGGTCGTGGCTATGTGTTTGTGGCTACTCCCTCAGGCGCTCGGTGGATTCCCCAGAAGTGGGTGAAACCTTTTGTCCCCAAAAATCCAGCTCAAGAAGAAGGGGATGAAAAGAAAGTAGCCGATGCTTCAAAGAGAAGACGCCGCCGGATGGAAGAAAGAGAATTTTCCTAGGTGTGAAGTCCTTCTGGCAAAACCAGAAACTTTTAAAATGTTTTAAAAATGCTTGTTTTTCCTTTTTAGAGAAAACCTACTTCCCACTCAACCCTGTGATGAACCCCATGCAAGTTGTCATCTTGCTAATGCTGAACTGTCTGGCAGCTGCATGGATCATCCCTCAGCCACATCAAAACGTCTGGGTGACCCTGGCACAGACTCTTCAGCAGGAAAACATATGCTTGTCCACTGCAGCAGCAAAGAATCCTATGTCCACCTGTCTGGTAGGAATTCCATTGCAGGCTGGAGAATTTCCAGCAGGTTTGGACAAATATAGGTCCAACGAAATTCCGGAATCACACACCTGTGGTGGCCTGTTTTTTATTCTTTCAGTGTCTGTTCATACCCCCCCCCCCCAGCTCATTTCTAACCCCCTTCTCTCCAAGATGTGAATCCTCCCTTTCCCTGCCCCTTTCCCCAGGATAGTCCCTGTCTATTTAGTGAGGCTCAACACCCTATTTGTTACTTTGTGTTACTCTACTCCCTTGTTTTCCCTGATAAGTTTATGATATGTTAGTCCTGCCCTAAACTCCTCCCCTGCTATTCCCCTATTAGTTACTGTTCCTATACCCCTCCTCCTGAGTTCTTGTATAAAACCTTTGTCTGCCCCCCCCAAAGTGTCTTGGGCCACGCTAAATAAACCCATCCTGTTCACCCCCAAGTCCCGTGTCGCCTCCATCTGTCCCCTTGCCAATAACTGGGACTGCAGAGCTTCACAGGGGGATCGGCCTCCCCCCTCCTCTTCCCTCGCCGCCCAGCACGCCACCGCTCGGGGTGTCACGGTGAGAGGGTGCCAACCGCGACGCAACACACACCCCCCCCCGACCACACAAAGATCATCAGAAGCAAGCTGTGGTGATGATGAAATCCTTAGCAGTGGTTGCGAAGTTTGCCCAAGATAGCTCAGGAACTCCAAGACTTAGATCTATTTGGTTTTTCCCCTGCAGCTTACTGCATACATTTTTCTGTCCTCCCAAAACCTAGCACTAACAAGTACCACATCATAAAACAGTATCATGGGGAGTTTATTGCAAGAAGGTGGTGTCAGAATACAAGCCATATTGGGGCAGACAATCCATCTCACTCAAGTCCCAAAAGCCTCCCTAAGGGATTGTTCTTGATTTGTGGGGATCAGACATGGGCAGGAATTTCTTCTCGGCTTTTAGGAGGGCCATGTACCATAGGGCGGTTGTCCGTATTGACACCCAACCAAACTCTAATTGGTGAATGGACTCACAAAACCAAAAAAAATTCAAAAAAGGAGTGCTGACAAATTTGACCAAAATTGTAACTCAGAAATTTTTCATTGGGCCAAGTCAAAAAGAGTTGCTGTGTCCCTGTTTCTTCCGTGGGTCGCAGCAGCCAAAGCTCTAGGTGAATTGGGCCACCTAGAGTGCTGGGTAGTCAAACAGGCAAACTTAACATCTGCTGCCATCAGCTCCCTCCTAGAAGACGAGGAAATTACCAGACAGGCCACGCTGCAGAATCGTGCTGCAATAGATTTCCTTTTGCTACTGCATGGACATGAATGCAAGGAATTTGAAGGACTTTGCTGCATGGACCTGACTTCAAAAGCTCCAAACGTCCATGTTGCCCTTCGAAGCATGAACAGCCTGATTGGACAAGTGAAGCAAGAGTCTGAAGATTGGTTTACAGAACTGTTCAAGGGCTGGGGATTCACGGGGTGGTGGACATCTGTAGTTAGATCAATTTTGTTAGTCCTTGTTATTCTGTTCTTTGTAACCATAGCATTCAGGATCCTACGTTGCTTGATTTTCAAAGCTATCAAAGGTCTCATACCTTCTACCTCAGAAATCAACCACATAGAGTTGGCAAACCTAAAGAGGTCTGACTATGCCACCAATTGTAGGTGGTAGGAAAACCCACACTCACTGTCAAAATGAACCTAATGATTTCTTGTAACCTTGTTAAACAAATAAGGGGGAGATGTTGTATTGCTCTGGGGAATGGTTTTTCCCTCCCCAGAGACCCCTGTAGCTGTGACCATGTTAGTTTAACCCTTCCTTCCTGTCTTGGCCCAATTGGCTGGGAGACAAGTATCCTTCCCTATACAGAACCTAGATAAGGCTCTGTCCCTTCCTTGTTCGCTCTCTTTCCCTCTTCCTTCCCTGGAATAAACATCTTGGACCACATTGGGGGTTGGAGCCGCTTTTGGAATTTTTTGCCTTGCTCCTGAAATACTTCCCCCCAAGGCCTCCCAGATCTGGGCTAGTCTGGTAACTTTGGGGGGCTGCGGGGGGTAGATATTTCACCGGGGTAACTTTATGATGCTGGTATCCCCATTGTCTTTTTGCTCAGAAATGGGTCCTGTAGTTTTACGCTAGGCCCAGACAAACAGCGTGAAGAGGGGGGAGAAGCAGTGCGCAATTTGCCTGCAGAATCTTCACTTTACTCCCCTGGAATTCCTGTCTCATGGACTGTGTTGCCTAGCCCGGACAGCAAGAGAGAGATAAGGGTATCAGTGCTCTTGGAATTCTCGGCTTTTGCAGAGAGAGAGCGATGGGGAGTTTTTCTTTGCTTTTATTCACTGGTTTTCCTTATTAGCTATGACAAGAAGGGTTTTCCCTGGACTGTGCCGCCTTCTTCTGAGACTATTCAGCTTCTCTCCAGTCCAGAACATCAGGAGAATCTCCCAGGGGCCCCCCAAGCTGCACCCTGGGCATGAGCCCCAGAGCAACTGAAAGACTGAGTCATGCCCACAGAAAGACTCTCTCTGAATTTGACATCTCTTCAGAACAGTGAGAGGTTTTATTGTTTTATATTATTCATTTCCCATGCTTGTGAATACTTTGCTTGTTAAATAAACAGTTTTTTTCCACTTGTCTCCAAGGAGATTTTTTTCCTGAATTGGTGGGGGCACAGGCTGCTGAATTCTGCCCTATAGGGAAACATCCCTTTGGAGGTTTCCTTCTAAAATTTATACCAAACCAGGACAACGGTAAAAAGATGAGAGTTGCTACAGCACATAAGAGGAAAAAAAGCATTTGTTTAACCCATAGTCCACAAGGTAACCACGAAAACATGTTCCATTCCCATCCTTTCCACGTTTGGACTGGTACATGAGCTAAGTTTCTTATTCCCTTTGTTATTTGTTTCACTACTTTTCCATTGTCATTTATTTGTCAACAGCATTTTAAGTAATTTAATTTTCTACACACTCCCCCTTCTTCTGCTAATAGATAATCTAATACCATCCGATGCTGACATATTGCATTCCTCATCTGAGTGAGCAAGAGTCAGCAAGAAGGTCAAAAGCTGCAGCTGTCTGGTTGGTTATTATTTCAAAGAGAGCTTGTAACCTAATTATCCAATATAAATGTGTTCTCTGGCACCTGATATTAATTTATTTTAATTCCAGGTGGCTGATCCATAATGTTGTATGATTCGCTCAGGTGGCCATTTATCTGTTCCCCACTTTTGGGTGCTCCCTCCAGCCAGGGATGCATCAACTGACATATTTTCTCTAATTAGATCATCATATACCTTGATTCCTAACGGATTTCCCTGAACTTGTGGTAGCAAAAAAAGAACAACGGTTTAATATACCCTACATAACATATTCCTGACCAGTTTGGAGGCAACCTGGGATAGGCATGTTGGGCACCCATGGCCTGTCATCAGGTCCTCCTGGCCTTCTGCTGACCCAACAATTGCTAAGGTTAAAGGTTTTTGCTATTTCTCCTAGGACTAAAAAAACAATTCTCCTGCCTCTGGCCCAAACCTAACTGACAATATAAAGGTAAGATTATTATGAAAAACATTCTAATGGTGTAACCTGATTTCCTAATCTAATTCTCATGTTGTCTTCCCCACCAGCTGTGGCGAGTGAAGGTGCAGAAACAACATAAAGAAAACAATGACAGTGAGGATTAGCCCCCAATGACTGGAAATCCAAAAGGAGGGATGCCCATACAGACTATTTCAGCAGACAGTCTGTGGGTAGGCACACGGCGCTTCCCCCAATGTCGACGCACTGGTTACTGCTCCGGTCCACTACTGCAGAGTGTCAGTCGCGGCCTCCCGTCCTTTTCCTCTAGCTGAGATGTCCAAGTTTCTGAGGCCTTAGAGACCTTGACCAGAGTGTGATGGGTCCACTGGTGTTCAGCTGTCTTGATGGATATTTCTGTGGTCAGTAACACTTGAAAAGGTCCACGCCACTTCGCCACTAGTGGTGCTTTTTTTCACCCCTTAACTAGGACCCAATCTTCTGGTTGGATGTTATGAACAGTAGAGTCTAAAGGCAGGGTCTGTGCCAGCTGAGCTTCCTGTCAAAGAGGTTTCACAAGAGACAGTATCCTGTCCACATATTGTTTTAAATACACATCACTTATTTCCACTCCTCTACTATGCTGAGAATTATAAGGGTAAGGAATTCCAAACATCAATTCAAAGGGAGATAACTGAATATCTCCTCTGGGTCTGGCCCTTATTCTTGCCAAAGCCAATGGCAAAAGCCATACCCATGGCATCTTAGTTTCTATCACCAGCTTCAGGAGGTGTTTCTTTATTTCTCCATTCATTCTTTTAACCCGACCTGAATTCTGGGAGTGCCGGGGGGTATGGAGGTTCCATTGTATTCCTAAAGCAGTCATAACTCCTTGAAGAATTTTTCCTGTAAAATGAGATCCCCTGAGTCTATTGCTTTCACAATCCCATATCTTTGAATGATTTGTTCCAAAAATACTTTAATAATTGATCCTCTAGTTGCTGAAACAGTTGGAAATGCTTCTGGCCACCCTTTTAGCTGACATACTATTACCAGTGGGAAAGACATTTCTGTGCTGTTTTTGTGAGCCAGCGAAAGCTTCTTGAAGATAAGGAAAGCCTCATATCTCTCTCAAGGAATTTACCAAGGCTATCACCATGACAATGCAAAGAAAGAGAGAGAAAAAAAAGTATAAGCAAAAAGATCTAGACTTTGGTACACAGTGGCGTGGCTCCTTTCACCTATTGAAAGCTTTGTTTCTTCTTTATGACCAATGGGCAGTGTATGTGTTCATTAAGTAAATGTAAACATCTTATAAAACTATAAAAAGCAACATGTTGCTTCAATAAAGGGATCTAAACAGCCTTCTGAGTGAGTCCTGGTGCTTTGCGCCATGTGGGGCTCAATAGCGACAATTACCAGAAGATATCTAAACCTTGCCACTTGGGGCATTTTGGTAAAACCCACCTGGCATCTTTGGAAGGCCCCTGACTCCATACTTAACCCAGGACCCTGCACTGTTTGTTCGCCTTTGTGTCTGGACTCTTTCAGTGTGACTCTATAATAAACCTCGCTGGAACTCTATAGAGACCCTTTCCCTCTTACTTCACTGACCTATCTGTGGTGTGAGTGTGGATTGAGTGACTGTATGTACTTGCCCAAGCAGCTTTCTCAGAAGACGCTTTTGGGAAATAGCAGCAAAACACCATCCATTTTACCACATTGCTAAAGAGAAAATTGGGAAAAAATTGTTTATTTAATAGGCAAAGCATTTAGCAGCGGAAAAAAAAAAAAGAACAATATTAAACAATAAAAGTTTTTGCTGCTCCAAAAGAGATGACAAACTCAGAAAGTCCCTTTCGTGGGCTGTAGTTCGGCTCACTAAGTTTGTTATCAGTCTCTCTGGCACTGGAAATGCCGCAACCCAGGCCAGGCCCCAGTGGACTATAGGTGTGAGCTGCCGGTGCTCTTTTGGGTGTTCAGTCTAGAGCAGGTTTAAACAGTTCTAAGAGAAAAGGAAACCCACAGTCTACAGAACTTCTCTGCCTCAGCTAGCTAAAAGCTAACTAAAAGCAAAGGAGAGGTCTCTACCGCCATCTGTCCGTGCTGCAGACAGCACAGTCCAGGAGCCGGAATCTGAAGGAGTGAGTGCAGTTTCTGAAAATAAACTCTGCACTTCTTCTCTCTTCCCCCGCCCCCCCCCCCCGCCTTCGCTCTCAGAACTAGTTTTAAAGGTGCAAAACTTCTTTCTGGGCTAAACAGAGGAATGGGGATACAAGCATCATAAAGTCACCCCAAGGCATTCCACCCCTTATCTCTATATCGTTAGCTTACTACCAAAACTAATATATATTCTAACTCTACAAATACATATATTATACATATATATATATATATATAGACAATGGCAGTAACATTCATCAAATAGTGATATTTACACATGGTTCTCACTCAACAATCAGATCTTTCTGTGGTATATATTGTGTTGTTTCATCTTTTTGCATTATTCATCATGTGTAAATTTGTCTTTGAGCAAAGACAACCCTACGGATGGGTTTGTCTGTATTTGAGGTAGAATTGATCAAAATTGTCTTCCTTAACAAACTTCTGACATGTATTATTGGGATTTTGTTTACTGTATGTAGGGACTTAGATTGGGCAGAGCCTGCTCGGTTGGTGGAACTTTGGGTGTTAACTAACCAGGTGGCCTTTGCTAGATGTTGCTCTTTTTTTTTTTGAAAGATCTCCTACCCAATGCTTTCAAGGTGGTTTTCAATAGTCTATTGTACTTTTCTGCTTTGCTTGTAGTTGGCACATGGTAGGGGATATGGTACACCCACTCAATGCTATGTTCTTTAGCTTAGGTGTTGATAAGGCTGTTCTTGAAATAAGTTTTATTGTCTGACTCAATCCTCTCAGGGGTACCATGCCTCCAAAGGACTTGTTTTTCAAGACTTGAGATGGTGTTATGGGCTGTAGTGTGAGGCATAGGGTAGGTCTTCAGCCATCCCGTGTTGGCTTCTACTATTGTGAGCACATAGCGCTTACTTTGGCATGTCTGGGACAGTGTGATGTAGTCAAGCTGCTAGACTTCCCTATTTTTATATTTGGAGTACCGCCCACCATACCATAGGGGCTTTACGTGCTTGGTTTGCTTGATAATAGCAAACATCTCACAATCATGGATAACTTGAGAAATATTGTTTATGATTAAATCTACCCCTTGGTTTTGTGCTTATTTATAGGTGGCATTTCTACTCTGATGACTTGAGGCATTATGGGCCTATTGAACTAGGAACAACTTTCCTTTGTGTTGCTAATCTAAGCCTATTTTTGACACTTCTATCTTTGTAACTTGATCTACTTGCTTATTGTTTTGGTGCTCCTTATTAGCTCTACTCTTGGGTACATGGGCATCCACTAGGCAGACTTTTATAGGCAGTTTTTTTACCTTGGTAGTGATATTTTTTTAATCTTCAGCATCTCAAATTGGTTTTCTTCTATACTGCTAATTAGCTTTTTTCTACTACTCCAGCCATCCCCACAGAGCATTGGCTACTATCTATGAATCGGTGTAGAGATAGAGCTATAGCTACTTCTCTCTTTTAGCAATGTCTAGGGCTAGTTGAACGGCTTTGAGTTCTGTGAGTTGGCTCGATCTATCTTCTCTTTCAGTAGCTTTTGTGATTTGTCATGTTGGGCTCTATATGGTTGTTTTCTACTTTTGTTTTATTATTACAATGCAGCAAGAACTATTAGCAAAAAGAGCATAACATGTTTCTTCTGTTGGTAGTTGGTTGTATGATGCAGCTTCTTTAGTACATGTTACTTCTTGTTCTTTTTCGTTAGAGAGACTAAAGTTTTTACTTTTAGGCTAATTTGTAATTATCTCTAAAATCCTATGGTGATTAATTTTTCTAATATGGGCACGCTGTGTGATGAGGGCCATTAATTTGCTCTATGTGGCTGTCATGGTTTTGACATGGGAGGAATGTAGGGAAGTGATGTAAAAACTTTTTGCGTAACTAACAGTCTGTTGAACCACTGAAAAGCTAGACATGCCTCTGTGAAAGACACATGTTAAAGACGAAAGAAACCTGGGAACTTTCTCTTTCTTTCCCAGCCAGCAAGAAGGTAACACACCCCGGGCCTGCCGGGTCCCATCCTGGCCAGGCCCGGGAAGCTTGCTAGGTCCTGTCCCGGGCCAGGCCGGGCAGACTCTGCTGTGGGGGCTCCGGGAGACACTGAACCCCATTCTGGCTGGGCTGAGCCCCAGCAGTTTCCGGGCAGGAATGTGGGGGAGGCTGCAGAGCCCCGGCCAGAGCAGGGCAGGCCGTAGATAAGATCTTACCATCAAGTCCCCTCCCCCAGCATGGCTGAGACCAGAAGAAGCCCTGCTGCTGCACAGAGTGGACCTGCATCTGGAATTGAACACACAGAAAACAAAAAAACCAACCATGAAGTCGATCCTGACACAGCCCCAGCTGCAGCTCCTGCCACAAGTTACAGGTGGGTCAGGTGACCATCTGAAGGACCCAGGTTGTTATGAACAAAAGTGCCTTCCTGGTTCCCATGGTAATACTGGGACACTGCTGGCTTGAGCTAAGCAGTGATATTGAAATGTTAATTAGCTAATTGCTCCTGGAAATCACCTACACCCCCCCCCCCCCCCCACTGCCATTGTAGGACTGGGATGCAAAATAGAGGGACCAGTGGAATCATGGGAGGGGGTTTTGGGGATGAAAACACCCCTAAATGGAAGGCTGGGCACAGTGGAGGGGGCTGGATGGGTGCACTGGTTGGTGAAAAGGGAACCACATCCCTAGTCTATGTCTGACCTGTCACCATAGCCTCCAGAGAACTGGACTGGACTGGGGTGTGGGAAGCAGGAACCAAGAAGCAGCACTTCCTGGTGTTACCAGGAGGAAAGGAGATGGGATAGCTGCTGCTGGACTTCGCCAACAGACCTTGGCTCGTGTGCCAGGAGGAAAGGGTAGAGGACGGGACTTCAGATACAGACTGCACACCTCTTCACCTCCAGCAACAGTTTGTTGGAACTCAAAATGTCCCTCAGACATTTTTGGAGGTTCCAGGTGCAGGTCAGAAGCACTTTAGACCCTGTCAGGCAGCTGGAAACAGCTGTTGTTATGAACAAAACAGCCTTGCTGGGACACTTGGCTTGGGCTAAGTACTGACATTGAAATGTTAATTAGCTAATTGTTCCTGGGAATCACCTACCTCCCCCCACCCTCACTACCATTCTAGGACTGGGATGCAAAATAATCCAGTGGAATCATGGGAGGGGGTTTTGGGGATGAAAAACACCCCTAAATGGAAAAGATGGGCACAGTGGAGGGGGCTGGATGGGTGTGCTCGTTGGGGAAAAGGGAACCCCATCCCTAGTCTGTGTTTGACCTGTCACCATAACCTACAGAGGACCAGACTGGACTGGGCTGTGGGAAGCAGGAGCAAAGCACACACACATTTCCTGGTGTTACCAGGAGGGAAGGAGAGGGATAGCTGTTGCTGGACTTCGGCAGCAGGCTCTGCACATCCCCTCACCCCGCGGCCACCAGTGTGTCGGGAGGAAAGGAGAGAGGACGGTCTGCTGGGACTTCAGATACGGACTGCACACCTCTTCACCTCCAGCTACCAGCGTGCCAGGGAGAGTCCTGGGACAGACTCTGCACGCCTGCTCACCAGAGTCCTGGGATAGACTCTGCACGCCTGCTCACCCTTCGGCTACCGGAAAAGCTACAACAGCGGGGTGAGCTCCTTGTTGAGCCCCCTGCCGAGCTGACTTTTTAATAAAGAGCTGACTATTAATAAAGGCATAGACCCAGTTCATTTCAGCTGTGATTTTGAGTTTGAGCCATGGAATGACTTACCAACTTTGCAGGTAGAATGAGAATTCACAAAAGTTTAGATATTATAGTAGAAGTAGTTACAAAGTAGAGGGAAGAATTTTTTTGTATTGTACAAGGGGGTTTTAACACCTGTACAGGCGGGTTTTTACTTTGTACATGGGGCTCAGAGGTTTTAAGATGGAGGAATGTAGGCCGGTCCTGTTCCTCCTCTTTCTTCTTCCTTGCCTCCATGTTCTTGATGATGTTGGCACTTATGGATTGGTTTAAAATAGAAAAGCACCATTTAATATAGGTAGTAGGTATTGGGGAAAAACTGTAAACATGTATCACGTAATGTATCATATAAAAGATAGCAGCAGCCAGGGGTGGGGAGAGAGAAGAAGACAGCAGACAGAGAGGGTTTCAGGGGTGTGTGTGTGCCTCTGCCTGAGCTGATGACCAAACCACAGTAGCCAGAGAAGACAATCTTTTAGATAGCTTACAATAAACTGCCTTGAGACCAAACAACAAGAGACTGCTGAGTTTTCTTTGGAAGCAGGGGTTGGAGGAGAGACTTTACCACCACACGGAACCCCTGAACCAGGCCAGGGTTCGGACACCAGTGTGCCACGAAGACTTCAGGGACAGACTGCACGCCTTCTCCACCTTTGGCTACTGGGAAAAAGCTACAACAGTGGGGGCGAGCTCTGTGCTGAGCCCCCTGCCCAGCTAATATTTTTAATAAAGAGCTGAACATTAATAAAGGCATAATCCCTGTTCATTTCACAGGTAACATGTTAACTCTTTCAGTACTTCAATCCTCCCTCGAGTAAGAGAAAAGAACAAGATACAAACATGTAAAGGAACAACATGAAAACATCATGATCAGTGAGAAAGAAGTTAAGTTGCAGATGGGAGGGATGAGGAGATACCTTGATTTTAGAGCTGAAATCCTCTTATAAACTATGGAGAAAAGACTCTTTTCCCTATAACACATGAAACTATGGGGAGATGAAGAGTCCAAATTGATAACAAGCAAAGGCCTCCATGCTAAAGTAAATAGATATTAAAGTAGCTGTAATCCCATGAAAAGTTTGAGCAGAAAAAGAGAGAAGAGTAGACCTGTGCCCCTAGGAGATTTCTATTCCCAGAAATGAAGATGATTTTAGAAATAGATAATGAGAACTTTTACCTTTGACCAACTCATCTTTAAACTAATATCCCATAAACCATTGTCCTAGGTTAACTGTATGATGCCTTTATCCCCAATCGTCTGCCCTGTTTATGTTGAATAATAAGTTCTACATCTTTAAAACTTGTTCCAGGAGTGAAGGGGGGGAGGGGGGGGGAAGAAGCGCGCAGTTTGTTTTCAAGAACTGCACTCCCTCCTCCACATTTCTGCTCCTAGACTGTGTTGTCCACAGACGGACTGACAGCGAGACAGAGCTCTCCTTTGCTTTTTCTAGTTAGTTTTAGCTAGCTGAGGCAAAGAAGGTCCCTAGACTGTGTTTTTTTTCCCTTTCTTTAGACCTGCACTGGACTGAACACCAGAAGAGCAGCTGCAGCTCACACCTGTGGCCCAGCAGGCCGGGCCTGGGCCGTGGCATTTCCAGCACTGGAGGGACTGATCAGAGACTGAGTGAGCCGAGCTGCAGCCCGGGGGGATTTTTCTGAGTTTGTCTCTCTCTTGGAGTGGCAAGAAGTTTTATTGTTTAATATTGTTTTAAGTTTGCTTGTTTAATAAACAGTTTTTTTCCACTTTTCTCCAAAAAGGTATCTTTCCCGAACTGGTTTTGGGGTGGGGCCAATTAAATCTGCTTTCCTAAAGGAACCCTTTTGGGGTTCTTTCCCCAAATTTGCCCTGAACCAGGACAAATACATTTATTGGCGCCCAACATGGGGCTTGAGAAAGTACAAAAAAACCTTTATTCCTTTACTAATTGCATGTTAGTTGTGCTTATTTTGTAGTGGGTTAAAGCAGTCAGTAACCATGTTACTTACATTCATAATGTCTCTTGGGGTAGAGGCCTTCATGTGGTTCTGGTCTCTAGGCTTTTTTAAGGTTTTCGTACTTTTCTGGTCACTAAGATTCTTGTCCCTTAGATGTAGTTTTTACAGTAGAAGAGCACAGATTAAAATAGCTATTGTGCTGGGCTTAGTAATAGTGATTTAAAAAGCTCTTGTAAAAATACTGGAGTCTATTCAAGATATATATAGTTTATGGTTTTTTCGTCCTACCCTGCATCCTAGTTCCAGTAGTATGTTCTGGGGGTTTATTAGTAATTGCACCCGGTTTGTTAAAGGAGGAGCAGGGGATAAAGTTTTCCAGCCTCTCCTTGCCTTTTTCTCTTTTGAATTTGTTATGTCACTTTTTAAAAATGTTCAGTTTTCCCTGAATGTTAAAGAGACCATCTTTCTGGTATTTATTCTGGTAAACTCCCTGGTAAACTTCCTTTATACAGCCTGCAGCTTCTCTAGAGTGAAGGCTGAGATGTTCAGAGGAGCTGATGAAACCCCTCACCCAGGTGTGGAAAATCCTGAGTGGTGTGGAGAATGGAAAAATATAGGCCAGACCCTAAAGAAATTTTCTGACCCTGTAGAGTAGAATTTTCCATGTGAACAAATTCAGAACCCAGGTGAGGTGGCGAAATACCTAAAAGAAAAGTGCCATGATTACTCTAATGAGAAAAGGATCATTGCAATAAGCTGGGCCTTGGCTTATGCTTATCGCACACTGCTAGATACTGTAAGCAGGCAGACAGAGGCAGGGGGGCAGGGAGATAAACCAGCAGCTATCCCAGTCACTCAGGCTGCAGACAGCACCCTACTTACTCATGCTGTAGCTAAACCAGACAGTAACCCTAAGCCACTGTAAGTTGCTGCGGGAAAGAAGAAAAGCAAAGCTAACTGGCCAGGGACTAATGATAATGATCCAGGAGAAGGACCCTCAAAGCTAATTACTGACACAAAAGCCGGAGTTAGGGCAACTGAGGCAGGATTGGAAGCCACTACTAAGTCCTATTCCCTGAAGGACCTTTGTGGCCTAAGAAAGAATTACACTCGGCGACCTGATGAGTCTATAATTAGTTGGTTAGTCTGTCTTTGAGATGCTGCAGGTGAGGCTACAGTTCTAGATAGTAGTGAAGCGAGACATTTGGGATCCCTGTCACATGATCCTGTTATTAACCAAAGAATGATGAGGGGGGCTAACCCTCGCAGCCTCTGGGCACGGGTTCTGGAAAGTATAGCACAAAAATCCCTGTGTGCAGATGATCTTTATATGCAGCAAACCCAGTAGAAGACTATAGAACAAGGAATTCAACGCTTGGAAGAAATGGCAGTGGCAGAGATTGTCTTCTCAGATAATATAGATACTGTAAATCCAGACTTAGTACCGTGTACATCCGTAATGTGGCAAAAACTTATAAGACTTAGGCCACATGAATATGCTTCTGCTGTAACAATAATAAAGTGAGATGATGGTGAGGAGACTGTGCTCGATATAGCAAAGAAGCTCCGAGCATATGCAGATGCCGTACATGGCCCAACACATGCCAGAACTGAGCAGTGGAAACACGTCTGCAGAAACTAGAAGACAAGATAGAGGAAAATCATAAGAAACTCAAAGAAGAGATGAAAGAGGGTTTTCTCCAAGTCTCAGCAGTACAGATTAGAGGTCCTGGTACCCAACGCAACCGTTCCCCAGATAAGGAAAGAAGGTACACTTCACGAGCTGAGCTGTGGTTCTTCCTGCGTGATTGTAGAGAAAATATGAGGAAATGAGATGAGAAACCTACTGCTGCTCTGGCACAATGGGTGCGTAAATTGAAGGGAGGCAAGACTCCGAGAGGAAGTTTCACCAAAAGGAAAGCAGCTCCAGTGACCCATAACCAAACTGCCGTATATGATGATGAGAACGATATTTTCAATCCCCTTGAAGGAACCTCCAAGACATATGCCCCAGAAAAAAAGGAACACCAGGCTTAGAGGGGCCCTGCCTCTAGCCAGGTAGAGGCTAGGGAAAACCGTATTTTTTAGACTGTGTAGATTCATTGGCCTGGCACATCAGAACCACAAGTATATAAAGCTTTAGTCGACACTGGTGCACAGTGCACATTAATCCCATCAAAATATGTGGGGGCAGAACCTATTTCTATTGCTGGTGTGACAGGGGGATCACAAGACTTTACTTCAGTGGAAGCTGAGATCAGTCTGACAAGAAATGAGTAGAAGAAACAGTCTATTGTAACTGGCCCAGAGGCCCCATGTATTTTAGGCATAGACTTCCTCCGAAGTGGGTATTTCAAAGACCCAAAGGGACTCAGGCAGGCATTTAGAATAGCAGCTATAAAAACAGAGAGCATCAAGCAATTAAACAGCTTACCTGGACTATCAGAAAACCCATCTGCAGTAGGACTCTTGAAGGTAGAAGAGCAACGAGTACCAATTACCGCCTCAACAGTGCACCGCCAGCAGTACTGAACAAATCAAGATGCCGTGATCCCCATCCACAAAATGATCCATGAGCTAGAGAGCCAAGGGGTGGTCAGCAAAACCCACTCACCCTTCAACAGCCCCATCTGGCCTGTGCGTAAATCTGAAAGAAAATAAAAGATTAACAGTAGACTACCGTGCATTGAATGAAGTGACTCCACCGCTGAGTGCTGCTGTGCCAGACATGCTGGAACTCCAGTACAAGCTGGAGTCCAAGGCAGCAAAGTGGTATGCCACTACTAATATTGCTAATGCATTTTTCTCCATTCCTCTAGCAGCAGAATGCAGGCCACAGTTTGCTTTCACCTGGAGGGGCGTGAAGTACACCTGGAACCGACTGCCCCAGGGGTGGAAACACAGCCCCACCATCTGCCATGAACTGATCCAGACTGCACTAGAAAAGGGTAAGGCTCCAGAACATCTACAATATCATTGTGTGGGGGAAGACAACAGCAGAGGTGTCGCTGTCGAGGCAGGATGGGAATGAATAGACTTGAATCAGAAGGCTGTGAAAATAAGACTCCGATTTATTCAAAATACACTGCTTTTTTATACAGAGCTTCGTGAGGACCAAACCCATTGGTTCTGAAGTGAAAACAACCTAAACCATTGGTGCAGAGTGCTTGGTGCACAGTGATAGAACTTAACTATAAACAATGTGAACAACAAGAGAGATAAAGAGTTATTTACATTCTTATCCAGCTCTTTCCCAGGCGTCTGCCTGGCTAGAAACTTTCAGTTCCTTTCTTTGACTGAATCTGAGTCCCACATGTCCTCTTCTTTAGTTTAAAGAAGGAGGCGGTGTTTGTCAGGGCACCTTGCAGAGAAGAGGACAAACACGACTCCGAGGTTCACTAGTTGATAATTCAAAACTTCATTGGATGTTGGCTCAGATCGGTCAAAGAGCTTCCAAACTTATAATTTTCAAGGAATCAGTTACCAACTCTAAGATAGTAACAACTCACTGTCAGACTGTCAAAGGACTGGCAGTCCAACTTGTCAAAACCCATTTCCCAGTGTGAGTATGACCTGACAGAAGAAAAGGAAAAAGGTATTTACAACACGTGCACATACCCAAATCAGCCAAATTTGAATTTGGCAAGATAAGTAACATTACTTTGCCACAGCTGCAAAGCCTTTAGGCCTCTGGGATTTCTCCCAGCCAGTAAGGTGCAGCAGGTGAAGCCTTGATTAGCATTCATCAGAATTGCTTTTGCAAGGTGTGTGCACTTAATAAAAGAATCATGCAAGGCTTTGCCTATGCAGTCATGTCCTCAATGGACAGCTTGAGTGGTGAAATTGAACTCAGATCCAAATTACATCCTCAAGGCTTTCAAAACAATTGAGTGAAACTGACCCAATTCAGAAAGGACCAAATTCACAACACTTGAGAAACCTCTGAAATGCCATGAAATCTCTGAAATGCCATGGCCACAGCCCTTAATTCAATCACTTGGGCTGAGGTTGATTCGTGACTTCCCAGTACTTTGAGCTGTTAGTGAAAACACAGCTCTTTCCGCCTTTTATTTTTTTTTTTTTTTTTTTTTTTAAGAGCCAGCAGCGGGCTTTAGGACCCAGCGATGCTTGGCAAGGCGGAGGACCCGGCCCCGTGGGCAGGGCCAAGTGTCTCAAACCCGGCTGGGGGGAGCCCAGGCACTCTGCTGAGCCAAGAGTCACCCAGCTCGGCCCCCAGCTTCTCTTTGGTATTTCCTGAAGACCATCAATAAATGAGTGACCTCCCCCAAACTTATATTTCAGTGCACGCTCCCAACAGGCTGCGAGAAACCCAGCAATTCCTCGGAGCCTCTGCCCTTCCCCCACCCCACCCAGCCATGGTTTCTTCCACAGCTCCCCGGCATCCTGCTCTGCGAACCACAAGAGCAGGACACGAAGGGTGTGAGAAGGGGCCGTTTCCCCGGGAATATAGAATTTCACCCGAGCTCCGAGGCTCCCTGCACCACCCACGCCCGCCCAGTGCAAGGGGCTGCCCCCCTGTCCCAGAATGTCTGCGCTGCTGCAGAATACAACCGATCGCTGCACAGCTCCCTGACTTGCGGCCCCACCCCCCTCTTTCGCTCCGGGACCAGCAGCAGTGGTGCTGCTGGGGACCAAGCCGATGCCCCCCCCCCCCCCCTCCCCGCCGCCAGCTCTCCCTCGGAGGGGCAGAGTTCGGTACAGTCTGGAGGGGACGAAGGGCTGGACTCATTGTCCAACTCGGGGCTATCGGCCGCCGGATCGCAGGGCGGAGCCGCTGTGCCCTGTGGGCGCCCCTCCCCCGCGTCTCTTTTATACAGAGCTTCGTGAGGACCAAATCCATTGGTTCTGAAGTGAAAACAACTAAGAGCATTGGTGAAAAAGTGCTTGACGCACAGTGATAGAACTTAACTATAAACAATGTGAAAAACAAGAGAGATAAAGAATTATTTACATTCTTATCCAGCTCTTTCCCAGGCGTCTGCCTGGCTAGAAACTTTCAGTTTCTTTCTTTGACTGAATCTGTGTCCCACACAGAGGTGTTTGAGAAAGGAAAAAAAATCATCCAGAGTCTCCTGAAAGCCAGTTTTGCCATCAAGAAGAGCAAAGTCAAGAGACCTGCTCGAGAAATCCAGTTCCTGGGAGTGAAGTGGCAAGATAGACAGTGTCAAAGTCCTACAGATATCATCAACAAGATCACAGTGATGTCTCCACCAACCAGCAAGAAGTAAACACAAGCTTTCCTAGACACCATAGGTTTTTAGAGAATATACATTCCCGAGTATAGCCAGATTGTGAGCCCTCTCTACTTATCACCTGCAAGAAGAACACTTTCCACTAGAGCCCTGAACAGCAGCAAGTCTTTACCCAGATCAAGCATGAGATCGCCCATGCGGTAGCCCTTGGCCCAGTCAGGACAGGACCAGATGTAAAGAACGTGCTCTACTCTGCATCCAGGAGTCATGGTTTGCCCTGGAGCCTTTTGCAGAAGGTGCCTGATGAGACTCGAGGCCGACCACTGGGATTTTGGAGTCGGAGCTATAGAGGGTCTGAAGCCAACTATACTCCAACAGAAAAAGAAATTTTAGCAGCCTATAAAAGCGTCCAAGCCGCCTCAGAGGTGATCGGTACAGAAGCACAACTTCTCCTGGCACCCCAACTATCAGTGCTGGGGTGGATGTTCAAACAACAGTTTCCTCTACCCACCATGACACCAATGCCACATGGAGCAAGTAAATTGCCCTTATCACACAGCACGCCCGGATTGGAAAACTGAATCACCCTAAAATTTTAGAGATAATTACAAACTAGCCTGAAAGTAAAAACTTTAGTCTCGCTAATAAAGAAGAAGAAAAAGTAACACATGCTGAAGAAGCCCCACTGTATAACCAACTACAAACAGAAAAAAACACATTATGCGCTTTTCACTGATGGTTCTTTCCGCATTGTGGGAATGAAACGGAAGTAGAAAGCAGCCGTATAAAGTCCCACAGAACAGGTTGAAGAAGCTACTGAAGGGGAGGGTAGATCAAGTCAACTCGCTAAACTCAAAGCCGTTCAACTGGCCCTGGACATTGCTGAAAGGGAGAAGTGTGCAAAGCTCTACCTCTACACTGATTCATGGATGGTAGCCAATGCTCTGTGTGGGTGGCTGGAGAAGTAGAAAAAAGCTAATTAGCAGCGTAGAGGAAAACCAATTTGAGCTGCTGATGAGTAGAAAGACATTACTACCAGGGTAGAGAAGCTACCTGTGAAAGTTCGCCATATAAATGCCCATGTCCCCAAGAGCAGAGCCAATAAGGAGCACCAAAACAACCAGCAGGTAGATCAGGCTGCAAAAATAGGTGTATCAAAGATAGACTTAGATTAGCAACACAAGAAAAAATTGTTCTTAGCACAATAGGCCCATAATGTTTCAAGCCATCAGAATAAAGATGCCACTTTTAAGTGGTCACAAAACCAAGGAGTAGATTTAACCATAGACAGTATTTGTCAGGTAATCCATAACTGTGAGACAAGTGCTACCATAAAACAGGCCAAGCAGGTGAAGCCCCTATGGTATGGTGGGTGGTGGTCCAAATACATCTATGAAGAGGCCTGGCAGATTGACTACATCACACTGCCCCAGACATGCCACGGCAAGTGTTATGTGGCCCACCATGATAGAAGCCACCACAAGATAGTTAGAAACCTATCCCGTGCCTCATTCTACGGCCTGTAACACCATTCTAAACCTTAAGAAGCAAATCCTTTAAAGACATAGTACCCCTAAAAAAATTAAGTCAGACAATGGGACTCATTTCAAGAACAGTCTTATCAACACCTGAGCTAGAGAACACGGTATTAAGTGAGTGTACCATATTCCCTACCATGCACCATCTACAAAAAAAATAGAGAGGTACAACAGACTGTTAAAAACCACCTTAAAAGCATTGGGTGGGGGATCTTTCAAGATCTGGGAGCAGAATCTGGTAAAAGCAACCTAGTTAGTTAACACCCGAGGCTCTACCAGTCGATTGGGCCCTGCCAAATCTCAGCTTTTACATATAGTAAATAGAGACAAAGTCCCAGTAGTTCATGTCAGAGGTTTGTTAAGGAAGACAGTATACATCAATTCTGCCTCAAGTACAAACAAACCCATTAATAAGATTGTCTTTGCTCAGAGACCAAGTTGTACATCGTAGATAATGCAGAAAGATGAAAGAACACAATATATACCTCAGGAAAATCTGATTATTAAGTGAGAACTATATATAAATATCACTGTTTGCTGAATATTACTGCCATTGTCTGTGTATAGCTATATATTAGATGTATAATGTATCTGCTTGTAGGGTTTGAATATATATATTGGTTTTAGTAGTAAGCTGACAATATGGGGATAAGGGGTGGAATGTCCTAGGTTGACTGTATGATGCCTTTATCCCCAATCGTCTGCCCTGTTTATGTTGAATAATAAGTTCTACACCTTTAAAACTTGTTCCAGGAGTGAAGGGGGGGTGGGGGGGGAAGAAGCGCGCAGTTTGTTTTCAAGAACTGCACTCCCTCCTCCACATTTCTGCTCCTAGACTGTGTTGTCCGCAGACAGACAGACAGCGAGACAGAGCTCTCCTTTGCTTTTTCTAGTTAGTTTTA